AAGTCAGACAAAATCAATTTCGTTATCCTCTTCATACAAGGTTGAAGAGGTGAACAGACCACTTCCTTCAAAATATATCCGCAAGAGTCTGTAGGTCATACACACTTCTCAACTGGCGCAGAGCACGAGTGCAATGTGTTGACTCTGAAGGTGGAAGAACACCATTACTCCTCAATGATATGCTACCGCCCACTTCAACCTATGCAGACTTTAGTCAAAAAACCAGTATACGTATATCCGCATTGGACCGCTTCACTAGGTAGGCTTTAAACAGATCCCACTGTGAGTCTCAAATCAAATCCCCGAGCTAGAGTTACTCCATACTGCCTTGTGGATCAGGCTATTAGGTCTAAAGCTCCAGAGGCGTACATGAAGAATACTTGCGAGCATCCAGATAACTTGTGAGTCAGACTGCTGGGGGAAAAACCAGCAGTAATCTATCGTCAGCCAAAACCCACTTTCTGAATAAGAAGTCAGACAGAACCATCTACAACATAGAACATGTCGCCAAAAAAATTTTTTGTGGTTGCGTTCTCTTCTCTAGTAATCATCTTCCCCACCATATTGAGTAAAAGACTGCCGCTGGTTTCGTAGATGGTGCTACAGAATTAGTACACTCGTTCTCTAGACCAAGAGACCCGTTTCACAGATTCGGTCAACAACACCACTTAACATCAGACAGGTAAGCAACATCCATGCCCCTATGTTTCTGAAGTTAAGAATAACACAAAAAAATCATTAGCTGTACACCGTAACGGCGCTCTGCTGCCGCGCGACCACCACCAGTCGCGTGGGGGTTGAATATACAGCGAGGAGGTCTGCCTCTACGCGGATTCGAATTGGTGACCTTATGATTGCAAGCCAGTCATGCAGAACACTCAGCTACCGGCCGACGTACATCTGCCCATGCATATCACAGCCAAAAATGTTTATCTGTGAACAGTTCTAGACATATTTTACAGCAAACTGGCCTAGAATCCGTTTGAGGTTCAACTAACCCCTCCTTCCATTCTCTTTCCTTTTACAATTGATTACCTCACTTCTAACTAAGGTTAGTGACCCAATGACTTTGCGCTCTGCTAGTCCTGAAGATCAAGACTAATGTTTAACGGTTGAGGAGAAACTGAAAACTCGACGACAGAAGCCGCGAAACGAAGAATAGCTCCCCGCTGCCGATCAACAACAAGCCGTCAGACAAAGCTTGAAGCCACCCTCCTCAAACAGGAACCACTTCAAACGATAAGAGGAGAACAAAGCGGATGGTTTTTCACGCGCCTGAGTCTATCGATCCAAGTACTCAGGCCGTTGTTCTTACACAGCCTGATTAATAGGCTTCTTGATGTGGATGAGGACAGAGTAAAAGTGAGGCAAGCCATCCGCCGCAGCAATAGCACTGCTGGGAAGGACCGACCTATGCGTGAAACGTTTGCTGACGAGGCCAGTCTGAAGCTAATACTATCTCGCCTGAGTAGGCTGATGGAAAAAAGGGTGCATATCCGTCCGGATAAGGATCTATCTGACTGAGAGGGTCTCTGGTATACTAGCATCGAGCTAAAGCGGCGAACCAATGAAGGAGGAACAAGCCTACGTATTGCAAATTTCCAGGTGGTTACAACGCGAAGAAGAATTCGGATAAAGCGTTCGCTCACTCTGCAGTCACGCCCAGTAGTTCTTACAGCAGCCTGTGTGTAGCTCTTACCAACGTATCCAGTCTTACAAACAAGCGCAATAAGCTGTGCCGCGTCGTTGTTTTCCAGCGACCAGATGTAGTGGGACTCGCAGTGACGTGGTTGAACGATGAGGTACAAACACAGAAAGTTGAGCCTAGTGGCTACTCGTGCTTCCGTAGTAATGCAATAGCAAATGCCCATGACAAAGTACTGCTCTTCATCCGGTCTTTTCTGTGTGGGAGACTTGTGAGTGTCCACCGAAGCGAAGATGGTGTGATGGTAGTATCAGATCAGAGTGAGCGGATAGACCAACCGAGCGAGCCAAAGGGAGGCGGACGTGACGGATTCGATTACTGGACTCGGATTGGACGATATTCGTGTGAGTGATTCACCGGTTGTTTAACTGAAGCAAAGGAGGAATCTCATCGACTCAGAAGGGTCGTTAGTTATGGACTTGAACCTGCAATTTATATCAAGGAGTTTGGCTTGCTAAACAAGCTGTAATTTCCGCTTAGCTGTTTGACGAATAAACGCTTGTCCCTGAAGGACTGAGTTCTGCAACGTGGTGTCAGAGAAGACAAAGACGAACCCCAACCGGCGGCGCGCGGAAGCTGTTTGGATCACCACTGTCTATTCAGATGCCTGCCCCACTGAAGATGGACGAACGGAAGTTGGGGAGTAATTGGCGTCTAGGAAAGAGCAAGTGGGAGGATTTCTGCACCTTAATAGGTTTGGACGAACAACCGATCGCGTATCGCTTGGCCATGTTTCGACACGCAACCGGGGATGACGCGCGCCGCGTTCTAGAGACATTGCACTACGACAAAGGTGAAGTTCCCAATAAGTTGGAGACGGGCACTGGGAAGTTCAGTGAATTTGTTGAAGGTCAAACCAACGAGACCTACCGACGCTATCTTTTCTTCTCGCGCAACAGAGGCCCAAACGAATCAGTCGACGCATACATCACTGAAGTGAAGATTTTGGCGCGATCCTGTATTTCCTGTAAATGTTTACGCGACAGCCTCGCGCGATCGGATCGTTCTAGAAATCAGTGATGAACGTACGACAAAGCAGCCTCTGGGACAAAAAATGTGTGTGTGAGCAGTTGTTGCATTCGATCCACCTCAGATGTGGACAGCTACTCGTGGGTGCATTTTATCACAGTCCCCTGAGACGTTATTGGATTAGCTGCGGCATCTCCGAGACCACATGAGTCGCAGTCATTTTCTACTCTAGGTACTTTCAACTGTTCTCGAATACATTGGCCTAAAGTTCAACTTATCCGCGGATTTGGTGAAGCCGAAGCAAAGTTCGCTGATATGGTATTTAAAATTGGAACGGCACAACCCATCTGCCAACCGACGCGCACAACACCGCGGTCAATTCCATCGTGCTTAGACTTGATGTTAACCAGATGTGAACAACATACGTGTGACATTCGTACCCTGGAGCCTATGGTAGCAAGCGAGCACTCAATTCTTACTGCCAACATTGAGCTGCCGAATCAGCAATCGCACGCACTGCATCCGGCCTACAAGTACTGGAAGACGGATTTCGACGGGCTGACTCGGGCCGCCAGTCAACTGGACTGGTCTCTACTGCAACCTGTATCGGTTGAAGCTTGCTGTTCAGAAATAAAGGATGACGTAAAATCATTGAGTAACCGGTTTGTGCCTGGAAAGTGTCGGAAAATCGGACCGATCAAGGCACATTGGTTCGACAAGGAACATGATGCGTTGGTTTGGCGGCGGTGCAGATTGTGGGACAAATTCCTTATCACTGGTTCGATTGATGACTACAAAGTGTATGAAAAGTAACGAAACGTTCGCAACAGTGAAAACGAGCAAGCACTGGCATTTTGAAGAACAGCTTGCGAACGCAGTAACCACCACCTAAAGAGAATCTTTGCGTATGCGAAGCGGCGCCTGAAGCAGACAGGTGACCTACCAGTGATACAGCACGCGAACAGACAGTCCCTAACCTCCCGCAGTGAGCGTGAGCCCGCCATTACGGGCCTGGCGGGCTCCACTTCCTGTTTCTCAAGTCCTTATCATCTCAACTGCCGTAACTGACCTGCTCAACAAATCGCTGCCCAAAGGTTCATTGTCCATTGATTGGAAATGCTCGGTGGTAAAACTGATTTCGGAAGGTGGAAACCTTCAACAAGTAGACGACTACACGCCAATTGGTTTGCCATATGTTTTGTCAATGGTTGCCGAGAAGATTGTGAAGAAAAGTTGGTTGCAGCTGTTCCGGTCAAATGATCTGACATCTGCGCAGCATGTCAGATCATTCATGAATTACCAGCCTGCTAGTGACGAGACATGTGGTTGCAAGCAGTGAACCAGGGGAAGTCTGTCGACGTGATCTACACGAATTGCAGCAAAGCCTTCGATAAAGTAAACCATGGGGTCCTTCTCCCCATTGCTAGGAGCCGAACTCAATGGCTTTCGTGCTGTGAGTTTCATTGTCCCTCCGCATCCCTTTTAGCTTCCCTTCCAATCACGATCTCATTTCTTAACATAACATAATTTGCATAATAAAATTTTTTGCTGAATAGTAGCCGGCTGGCAGCTTACTGGAACGATGCCCATCTGTTATCGGTATCTCAGCTGGCTTGCATCTGTTGCATATTTTTCCTTTTTTATGTATTGCAGCACAGTAGCTGATGTGCTCCCCACCTCTAGCTAATGTGTATAGCGATGATGATGATATATAGTGTTCTCAAATGCTAATCATCCGGCTCCAGTTCTTTTCTCGGTCGATTTTGTTTGTCAACTGCTCGTGTTTTGTCCCATCCACTCACAATTGCCAGCGTCCACGTAATGACGCGAGCCGTGACAAATGGATCCGTAGAATTTGACGCAGGAATCACGTGTTACTAGGTGTATCCATAGCGAAAGTACGCTAAAAGAGAGCGCTGGAAGATGTAACATCACACAATTCGCTGGCTGAACCCTAACAGTGCAACCTAAAATAAATCAGGCAAGCGAAAGAAACAACAGAGACAAGCAGAGAAGACAAGGGAAGGAATATGACTTTCGCCCGTCAAGATAGGTTAGCACATGCTTGTGGATAAAATAGCACGATGACTGCATGCTGTTATAGCCGCATGGAATTGTTTAATGCGAGCACTAGCGCTTATGTAGTTGAATTGACATGTAACTGCCTTATTGAGTTTATTTTATTAGCTCACGGTTTTAGCCACGTATAACGTGGGAAGCTTCGGTAACTGTTATACACTTCAGCTGCGCGCCCTTGGTTACATGTCAAAAATCATAACGATAAAAACAAATAAATGCTGAAAAAGGGAATGATTATTACGTCCGATCAACCAATGCGTTTAATTAAATGAACACCAGAATCAGTGTGTACAGGGCCGCACATCTGGCCAACGTTTAGTTTGAAGGCAGCGTCCTCGAAGGGTTTTTGCATTTGGCCGCGGCGGAAGTAACCTAAATCCCCACCAGAACGGGCAGAGCTACAATCGCTTTCGGTGCGTGCAAGGTTTTCAAACGAGACTTCACCCGTTTCGATACGTTTCTTGAATCCTGTAAGCATCGTAAAGATGATGAATAATGAGAACATGATAAATGAACTAAACAACACAGCGACAGAATATTCGACTGTCACTTCACAGCCTACGGTAGCGTTTAAAAAATTTAAGCAAACATTTAAGTTCCCAGGGAGATGGGAGTGCCCTACCAAAGTGCACAGATGGATCCAAGGAATAAGCCATACAATGGGCGACGTATCAGGCAACTCGAGCATTGGATGATGATTGGCTGTTCATGAGCGTTGTATTGAGCCCCTCGTCACTTACTTAATCGAGTCAAAGGAGCAACGGTGATAAGAAATATCGTTTGTGAAAGCATGCAAACATTATATTTCGAAGCGTTCAGTGTGTTAAACGTGCTAGACTTTTAGACGAATAAGCCGTTCATCCCTAAAGGACCAAGTTTTTACGCCCAGATGGGTGCATTTTTAGCAAGGACTGGTTGGATGGACTGACATGGTCTCAATTAAGGAGCAAAATTTTGTACATGGGAAAATAGACATTGACCAATACTGCACTTTTATACAGAAGACGATGATCAATTCCGGACAATCAAGCTGCAGCCTAGCACGACGCCCCTCAAAGACTTCGATTTCTGCTCGCACACTGAAGTTGTTCTATCGCCGCAGAGATATCCCGACAGAATCAGATTACAATGAACAGCCCGGCTCTAGCAACCGGCAGCCTAAGTAAAGCTTGTGCAAGGATCGTGATGGTTGCTGGTCTGAGCGTGCTTTGGTGATGAAGACCGCTGCTCTCTCTGGCAACACCCGCAGGCTTTTCCAACGCATTCGGTCCACTGGGTTCAGGTGGGTGCCTCTCCAATCGCCAACCGCCATAGGCGTTCGGAACACTAGGCCAAACACTTTCATTCGCAATTCGACTGGCCTTCACCGCACATTCGTGCAGGGATACACCTCGCTGCCGCCCCTGGGTCGTCGTAGTGGATCCACTCAGCAAAGCGAGAATCCACCTCGAGATTCGAAGCTTGAAACGAATCAAGGCTGCCGGCTAAGACGGCGTTGTAGCAATCACTAACTGGTTGATGTCATTGTTGGCAAAAATCTAGCATTAAAAGTGCCTTCCTTTTGGAACGATTCAATAATTGTCCCGATTTTCGAAAAAGGCACTAGCACTTCCTGTGCCAAGCATTTCGGTTGTCTTTAAGCTACTGGCATACAATCCGCATCGTAGATTATCCCTAATACGTGAACCCTGCTACCGCGAAGAGGAAGCTGATTTCCGTCCCGGCCATCGATGCGTGGATTACGCTCCGCCAAATCGTCGAACATCGCCCATTATCGTCGCATTCTTATACACAAGGGCTGTATTTGACTCAATTGATCGCTCTGCACTGTGGCGTTAATTGCTAAAGTATGGAGATTAGAGAAGTATATCGTCATCCTTTATATTCCCGGCAAAGTGAGCGCCTACTGACATATATATTGTAGAAATCATAGAGGAACCAATTTGAGCTCAATTGCCTTTAAATTGCATGCGTCTGTCGTTCTCTACAAACTGACTGGTACTCATGAAAGAGATTTGTGAGGAGCTAACTGGGTTTCATCGAAATCGGGGCTGCACCGACCACATCTACACATTACGTCAACTGTTAGAGCCCCGTCAGGTTTATTGGTGACCCACCGTAATCGTGTTTCTCAACCTCAAAAATGTCATCGATTCGGTAGACGGATGTGCCCTGTCTGCTGAAAAAGGTGACCGATAAATATGTAAACATTATCAGAGAGCTATACATGCACAGTTCGGGCAGTGAGAGTTCATAGCAACTGTCGCCCCTATTCAAATAGAATGTAAAGAAAATGAAGGTAAGAAGGAAGTGTTAGACCAATCAGAATACAAAGGTAAATAACAACCAGATGAAGGAAGCCGAACGCAGGAACGCCACCGGCTTCGTGACTATGCCATACCTGACACCGTCTCTAACCAATGGGGTGGAGCGTCCCGAGGCCCGCATCCGGAAAGATAGCCCGCACCAACCTAAAAAAAAGTGTCTCAGTCAGTTTCGTCATGCCTAAATGCCACGTCAGGGACTGGCCACCTCGCGGTTTCGCCAATTTAGTGTAGCCACGGCGTACAATGCACACAGAGGAAGCAGGTCAACAGGCATACAGAGAATATGGCCTAGCCAATGTAAACGGTTAAGATTCAGCAAACACTCGAGTGAGGCACCAGAAGGCGTCTTGCCCAAAACCAACTGGTCGACCTCAACAGTACTCACCCGGTGTTCCCACCAGATGTGAGCCATACTTCGCAAGTACCGATGGTCAAATACGGCCACGTGTTTAACGTCTTTGTAGAGAAATGGCCAGGTCACTGGTCCATGCAGTAACACCGGCCTTATCGCAGCGTTATACACCTTATCTTTCACTGTGAGTCTGTTATCCCGCCACCGCCATAAAAGGTTGAGCCTCTGGAAAGCCACACGGGTCTCGCTGATAAGCGAACTAACTTTTTAAGTGAGGTGACTACAAGAGATGACACAGATACCAAGGTAAGTGAACCGATCCACCACTTCCAGTGGCTGTTCGGTAATAGCCAGAACCGGTGGCGTATCGGTTCAGTCCTGCAACAGCACTTTCACTTTGAAGGTGCAAATCAAACGACTAAGCGTGCAGCACTACGCGTCAGATTGTGCAGTAGTAGTTCATATCCAGTGAGTCAGACCCAAAGAGACTATGTTGTCCGCATATTTCAGGTTTGTCAGTCGGTCACCTGGCAGAATTTCCACTCCGGCTGAGTCTAAATGAATCGAGTCATTCATGATCCTTTCGATTACAAAATTGGAGAGGAAAGGAGGTATTGGACAGATCTGGGAACCCCACTTGTCGTGGGGAACTCAGGCAAGGTTTTCCCGTAGACAATTACACAGCCTCGGGAGGAACTGCTGAGAGACTCCAAGGTGTAAAAAAGTTTATCTGATGCGTGCCTCAGAAATAGACAGTGTCACAAGCTGCCGCGATCAACAGAGTCGAAGGCAGCATACAACCCAAGTAAAGCTACCATAGTCGGTTGTGTGTTGTGTCTCTGCACAAAAACTTGACGAAGAGAAAATATGTAGCCGGTACCACCAAGACCAAAGATTTGATTTGCACGGGAATGATACCCGTGAGAAAATTTGGGGCAATAGGATCAAGACTAATGTCTGGATGATTATCGCACAAAGTAGGCGGACCCTTCTTGAAGATGGATACAACAGTTGACAGTCGCCAATGTCCCGAATCATATTAAATAAAGAAGCATGTCCAGTCAAAAACAATCAGCTCCAACTTTCAACAAAGATAGGCCGTCAGGTTTAGGAGCCATGTTTCGTTTCAACACGGCGTGCTGATGTCGTATCACTTTTATAATGGGAGGCGTGACGTCAAACTTCCATGTCGTCTAAGGCGATCCAGCAAGCAGCAGTATCGAAACAGGCCTGCAGAATTGCTCTATAAAATGTTCCGCCAAAGGGGCTAGTCGACAATGGATCAACTGTTCATCTTGCTAAGCTTTTGTTTCAGTAACTGCTGGGTTTCTTGGACTCGTGTTCCGGATTAGCTGGGATAGCATTCAAATGTTCAGAACAGCACTGGCTTTCTCTATCTCACGAGCCCTTACTGCCCACCAACGTTTCAGGTCGATTCCAAGACCCCTTCTCAGAAGTCGTTTCAGGGGGTTAAGGACACGCTAAAACTCAGTACCATTGGAACTCGTTTCCGTGCTTCGATTAAGCTGATCGACAATTGAGAGATCTATTCACAGTTAAGACGTCTCAAGTTGCGTGCAAAGCATGCGTCAGGGCATTCTAAATGGCACATTTGATCTGACCTCGGTCAGCGTTCGGCTCACCAAACTCATTCGTCAATGATAATTGGTGGGCCAGTTCGTCATGATATTGTTGGACGGCAATGTCAGTCAAGTCAAGAATGTGCGTTATGCATCCTAGTAGAGTGAATATTAAGCTCTGACAGGCCAAGAATATGAATAAATGGTGCGATCAGTAATGAGGCTGAACCTTACCGTGGTGCGATGGTTTGCGTGCCTCAGAGATCCAATGAGCTATGTTGGGTGGTGCACTTTTTGCACCTTTAGAGCCGCTCATACCAGATTGGTCAATGGCTATAGGCCTGACAAACTAAGTCTTCTAGCCCGGCAGATTGGGGGTTGGAATAAGGGTAGCTCCTTATTCCGCTAAACCCGCGGTCTTGTGGTCAGGTTTTAAATCAAAAGGCTGGTTGAGAGTCTCAATCGTTCTCCTGTTTAGGCCTGTGCAACCTGACAGCATCCAGTCTACGTAATACAACTATGACATCCACTAAAAACTATTTCTTGATGTTCTGGCCGCCGCAGAAGATAATAAACAGCGCCCAATCCGCTGCATCGAGCAGGGTGGATAGAGGTTTGGATACTAATACTCAGGCCTTCCCGCCTCTTTATTTCCCCTCTTACGCTTTTTCGCCCATATCGTCCAGTTTCAACTTCACTTTTATCCCCTTGTATTCAACCCCAATTCTAAACCCATCCCACTTCGCTTTGATAGGCGTTTATCTTCTAGTTTTAACTCACACGCAAACGCGGAGCGTCACTCTTGCCCAGTGGACAAACCCAAGTTGAAGCAAGCGGTCAAACCCAGTTCATCGGCTTCCATCTGGAGCCCTCGATCCTCCCTCAGATTTGCACGTCTCAATATACGCACAGTGCTACAGATCGGTCAACAAGAAGCACATCGTCAAACATTAGAGACCTTCACAAACCACATCTGCTGCTTATCGGAGACCAGCCTGCAAGATTCGAGCTCTGTGCTCACTCTGCGATTCCTTTCAGACGACACCAGCAATACTTTCTCATTGCGCCTCTCCGGTGACGATGCAGCCTCGAACACCGGAGATGCTGGTGTTGGCATTGCACTAAGTCACCGGGATGAAGCTGCTCTGGTTGATTGGATTCCAATCAGTAGCCGGATGTGTGCGGTCCGATTGGCTGGCTCGTTCAAAG